AACGCCCTCTTTTTGGCTGATTTTGGCGTCTGAGGCAACATTTGGAGAGCGATAACTAAATAAATTCTGGGCCGCTTCAAAAGCACTCGGGCATATGCGTCATAGACCTAGAGGAGTTCCTTAAAATGAATTACAGACTGCTGAGTGTCGCCACTGATGGTACGATTGGCGGCGCGTATGCCAAAATTTGTGGGAAACGCCCCCTTTTTGGCTGATTTTGGCGTCTGAGGCAACCTTTGGAGTGCGATACCTAAATAAATTCTGGGCCACTTCAAAAGCACTTGGGCATATGGGTCATAGACCTGAAGGAGATTCCTTATAATGAATTACAGACTGCTGAGTGTCGCCATTGATGGTACAATTGACGGCGCGTCTGCCAAAATTTGTGGGAACGCCCCCTTTTTGGCTGATTTTGGCGTCTGAGGCAACATTTGGAGAGCGATAACTAAATAAATTCTGGGCCGCTTCAAAAGCACTCGGGCATATGCGTCATAGACCTAGAGGAGTTCCTTAAAATGAATTACAGACTGCTGAGTGTCGCCACTGATGGTACGATTGGCGGCGCGTATGCCAAAATTTGTGGGAAACGCCCCCTTTTTGGCGGATTTTGACGTCTGAGGCAACCTTTGGAGAGCGATAACTAAATAAATTCTGGGCCACTTCAAAAGCACTTGGGCATATGGGTCATAGACCTGAAGGAGATTCCTTATAATGAATTACAGACTGCTGAGTATCGCCATTGATGGTACAATTGACGGCGCGTGTGCCAAAATTTGTGGGAAACGCCCTCTTTTTGGCTGATTTTGGCGTCTGAGGCAACATTTGGAGAGCGATAACTAAATAAATTCTGGGCCGCTTCAAAAGCACTCGGGCATATGCGTCATAGACCTAGAGGAGTTCCTTAAAATGAATTACAGACTGCTGAGTGTCGCCACTGATGGTACGATTGGCGGCGCGTATGCCAAAATTTGTGGGAAACGCCCCCTTTTTGGCTGATTTTGGCGTCTGAGGCAACCTTTGGAGTGCGATACCTAAATAAATTCTGGGCCGCTTCAAAAGCACTCGGGCATATGGGTCATAGACCTGAAGGAGATTCCTTATAATGAATTACAGACTGCTGAGTGTCGCCATTGATGGTACAATTGACGGCGCGTATGCCAAAATTTGTGCGAAACGCCCCCTTTTTGGCTGATTTTGGCGTCTGAGGTAACATTTGGAGAGCGATAACGAAATAAATTCTGGGCCACTTCAAAAGCACTCGGGCATATGGGTCATAGATCTGAAGGAGATTCCTTATAATGGATTACAGACTGCTGAGTGTCGCCATTGATGGTACAATTGACGGCGCGTATGCCAAAATTTGTGGGAAACGCCCCCTTTTTGGCTGATTTTGGTGTCTGAGGTAACATTTGGAGAGCGATAACAAAATATATTCTGGGCCACTTCAAAAGCACTCGGGCATATGGATCCTAAGATCTGAAGGAGATTCCTTATAATGAATTACAGACTGCTGAGTGTCGCCATTGATGGCACAATTGACGGCGCGTCTGCCAAAATTTGTGGGAACGCCCCCTTTTTGGCTGATTTTGGCGTCTGAGGCAACATTTGGAGAGCGATAACTAAATAAATTCTGGGCCGCTTCAAAAGCACTCGGGCATATGCGTCATAGACCTAGAGGAGTTCCTTAAAATGAATTACAGACTGCTGAGTGTCGCCACTGATGGTACGATTGGCGGCGCGTATGCCAAAATTTGTGGGAAACGCCCCCTTTTTGGCGGATTTTGACGTCTGAGGCAACCTTTGGAGAGCGATAACTAAATAAATTCTGGGCCACTTCAAAAGCACTTGGGCATATGGGTCATAGACCTGAAGGAGATTCCTTATAATGAATTACAGACTGCTGAGTATCGCCATTGATGGTACAATTGACGGCGCGTGTGCCAAAATTTGTGGGAAACGCCCTCTTTTTGGCTGATTTTGGCGTCTGAGGCAACATTTGGAGAGCGATAACTAAATAAATTCTGGGCCGCTTCAAAAGCACTCGGGCATATGCGTCATAGACCTAGAGGAGTTCCTTAAAATGAATTACAGACTGCTGAGTGTCGCCACTGATGGTACGATTGGCGGCGCGTATGCCAAAATTTGTGGGAAACGCCCCCTTTTTGGCGGATTTTGACGTCTGAGGCAACCTTTGGAGAGCGATAACTAAATAAATTCTGGGCCACTTCAAAAGCACTTGGGCATATGGGTCATAGACCTGAAGGAGATTCCTTATAATGAATTACAGACTGCTGAGTGTCGCCATTGATGGTACAATTGACGGCGCGTATGCCAAAATTTGTGCGAAACGCCCCCTTTTTGGCTGATTTTGGCGTCTGAGGCAACCTTTGGAGTGCGATAACTAAATAAATTCTGGGCCGCTTCAAAAGCACTCGGGCATATGCGTCATAGACCTAGGTGAGATTCCTTATAATGAATTACAGACTGCTAAGTGTCGCCATTGATGGTACGATTGACGGCGCGTATGCCACAATTTGTGGGAAACGCCCCCTTTTTGGCTGATTTTGGCGTCTGAAGCAACATTTGGAGATCGATAACTAAATAAATTCTGGGCTGCTTCAAAAGCACTCGGGCATATGCGTCATAGACCTAGAGGAGATTCCTTATAATGAATTACAGACTGCTGAGTGTCGCCATTGATGGTACAAATGACGGCCCGTATGCCCAAATTTGTGGGACACGCCCCCTTTTCGGCTGATTTTAATGTCTGAGGCAACCTTTGGAGAGTGATAACTAAATAAATTCTGGGCCGCTTCAAAAGCAATCGGGCATATGCGTCGCAGAACTAGAGGAGATGCATTGTTATGACTTATAGAGTGCTGAGTGTCGCCATTGATGGCACAATTGGCGGCGCGTATGCCCAAATATCTGGGACACGCCCCTTTTTTGCCTGATTTTGACGTCTGAGGTTGTGATGACTTAAGAGATACTGGGCCGTTTCAAAAGCTCTCGGGCGCACGCGTAGCAAACCTACATAAGATTGATTAATTAGCAGTAACAGCGTGCTACATGTCGGCATAAATTGTACTCTTCATGTCGCGTTTGCCAAAATGTCTGGACCACACCCACTCATTTTGGCATTTTTATTTTTAATACCATCCTTGGATGTGCAATAGCTGGTGAAATGAAATGCTGACACTTTGTAAAATATAGCTCGGATCAAAAAACGTTTTGACTCCTTAATTATTCAGCACTTTAAGCATAATTTGTTTGAGCTAATTACGCGGTGAAAAAAAAAAACCTGCAGTCAGGCTCCGTGGTTATCATTCAAGAAAGTATTCAGTGTAGTTGCCGTTTTGTTATACATTACATATGTTGTTAAAAATGTATTTAGGAACGCAACAACGTCACTGAATCCTCGAGTCTCCTCACCAACTGCGTCTTCTTTTTGGTATTTAAAGTCCTGGGGAACCACTTTAAAATTAAGTAATTTGAAAATATGAAATGTTTTCATGCAGCTAGATACATTGGCTATATATATAGCGAAATGCAACTAGATTGATAGGGTGGTTTCTTTGGGGTTTTGCATTGAATGTTAAAAAGACGTATGATTTTTCTGCGGTTCGCCATAGGAACCAATGAGTAAAAGTTTGGTTGCATTTTGGCCAGACTTAATAACACCCACGACCACGAAATTTCTCGTGCGGGTTGAGGGCAACGTAGTAAAACGTGACACAAAAGTGCAAAGCGATTGAGTAATTAGTTTTCTTATTATAAAAAAAGATCGCTTTGGTCCATTGAGTTACGGGCGCCGGCGCAACGGCGGCCGATAGATGGCGTAAGTAGTGGCGGCGCGCGCCTGTCCGAGAATCTTGGGGTTGCTGCTTATGTAAGAATTTTGAGTGACAGGTTAATCTTCTATAATCTTCTCGGAGGAGAATAGCGACGCCTGTGCATATCCGGGAGGGGAGGATCCTGATTAGAGTGGTGCTCCTTCCTCCCCTTTGCTCTGGAGGTCATCGGAGCGCTCTTTCAATAACTTCATGTGCGAGCCACGTATAGAGCAACGCAAGCTACATTTACAAGTCATATACCGCGGGCCAGCAAGGGGCACAGATTGGGCAAGAATAATGTGCCTTCGGCCGCGGCTCGTCCACAATCAGTGCCTTATCAAAGAAGACAGCATTGCTCGTCCAGTTTGTGTCCAAGTCCGTTCCGCGGTATGTGACGTGTAAAAACTAGCATCGAATCCTTCTTATCCAGGCGGTGTTAGCTGTTTTGACACGCTATACACGCACGTTACCGAACAATTCTAGTTTCGGAACTCTTTGAACCTGGGGCGTACGCCTACCAGTAATGTTTACAATAATCAATATGGCTTCTCGAAGCGCGACATTGCACGCATTACACAGTTGGAAGCTAAAGAAATAAAAAAATGTCACCTTGGACTGCGGTAAGAAAAAAAAACTTTCAAGTTTAAGAAAAAAAGGAACGGAGGAAGAAGAAGAAAATAAATGGTGCTATGGAGAATTTGGCAGCCTTGAAATGGCGCCGGCTACTCCAATGGAACGGAGGAGAATGTATTGTATCTTGTCTTTATTATTTTTTTTTTTACTTTAACGTTTCTTAATTTCTTCTGCACCACAGTATTAGGTGTCACATTACAATTACTTATCACTAACTGGCCGGCGCGCTCACTGTTTTTTTCCACAAAAAATACAAACATTAACTAATGCTTCTAAAAAGACGAATATTAGGAGCAGTGTGAATAGGCACCCTTATTTGTAGTAAATTTTATCTCTTAAGCTTTAGTAGAGTAAATTGGACGTAACCACACGTGTTTTATTATTCACATGCGTATACGGAGCGGAAAGTTGCCAGGGCCAGTGTGGCAACAAGATATATCCTTGTCCAGAAGCTCCGCTTTTAACTTAAACTCCTCAAACAAAATATATTGGCCTCAACAATTTAATCTTGACATTGCCTTTGAAAGGAAAGGACTACTTGGTGTGGCACTCGGGATATTTGTGGTAATAATGTACAGTTTTGTTGTTGCATGAGCGTATATATCTTGAGCAGAAAGAAGAGGGCCGGCCATCCTTTTCCGGACGTTTCATTTCCCAAAGCTCGCAGTCACCTGAAATTTAAAAAGCCACGGCCATTATATGTCTAAAAAACTCTAAGTATATTCGTGATTCCGCACAATTGTCCAGTTTCCTTTATGGTGGTATGGACAATGAAAAGAAAACAAGGAAGCTAAAAATAAAAAAAAGGACAACCAAGACTGTTGGGGAATTAAGATGAATCAGGAAATAATAAAAATGTGTACACGGTTAACTTGTTAGTTATATTAGGGAGTTCTAGTAAGTAATGTTTCCCCCTCCGCGAACCCTCTGCAACGAAGGAACCGCCACGGCGCCTGCGTGCTGATGGCCTTGGCTGTAGAGTTTCGGGTAGCGGAGGGGCTTAGCGGAGAGGGAAGCACGGTCTACTAAAACTCACTAATAGGGAGTTTTAGGGAACCGCTTTTAAATATCCGATACAGTACGGTGGACCCTCCGGTGCGAACTGCGCATGCGCTACCACAGGAGAATCCCATATGCGCAGTTCACATTGGAGGGCTCACCGTACTGTATCGGATGGGCAAAAACGGCTCCCTAAAACTCCCTATTAATACAATTCGTTTTACCGTAAATGGCAATTTACACACTAGCGTTGAGTCCGACCGAGTGCGACTCGGGCAGGTGTTTAACCCTCTTGCGACAGATTAGACCGGGCGCGCAGCAGCGGTGGCGGTCGTAAGCGGCTGAAATCCCCTTTCGTTGAACTCTGCCGTAGTCCGTTGCAACAGTGTGAACCAGCCTTAACTTGGCAAACAGGGAACACTACGGCCACGTACAGTCAATCAAAGCAATAGAGGCGAAGCACTTGACGAGCCTCACCAATAGTAATGGGCTGGTAACCAGGGTAAAAAGAACCATGTGTTCTTTTATTACATCAACCAGAAAATTGTCATTCTTTAGCAATATACTCGTTTCCACCTCAATAACTGTAGTAAAAAAAAGTCAAACGTCTGTGGAGCCTAATCTCCCTGAATGTTGACAATTGAAATATGTTTGTAGGTGCATTTTAGATTAGATATTTTATTTTCCCGAAGAACATTCAAATGATTATAACCGAAAAAGGGTGACCTACGCACAGAGCAAAATGTACTAGATTTTATTTGTAACTTTTAATTGATCTGTTTTACTTCTATAGTTCCACACATTCAATCCACTATCGAGCCCTACTTTCGAGGCACACGTACAGTGTTTGAGCCTGTAAAATTAATTTGAGACGTATATCGTACTACAGAGCTTGAAATACTCCCGTAAAAAAGGAAAATATGTGCGCCTTCATTTCCCTGCAGAATGGGCGGGAACCAATCGCGGCGAACAGTGGAACGATCGCAGTTAATGACGGAGCTGGAAATATGGTTAGAGTAAAAAAGCCGAATGTGCACTTGGACAATAAGCAAGATGTTTCAATTACTCATCGTGCATGCGTGCTGGAGATGCCCTATCTCCAGCGCACACCTGTTGCATCCTGTCGTGATCTAGATATGCGCGCGTCCAAGTGTTATCAATAGCAGAATGCTCCCACTGGGTGCGAAGCTTCTAATGCAGATCTAACGTGAAAACGATCGCATGAAAGAGTTCTCACTGATGGTTAGCTGAATATTTAAAGTTCTGGGAATTCGCGATAATCAGGAACGGTGATTAGCTCTCGTTTCCATTTACGGACGAGCAACGTTCTTGGATAATTAGAACGCGTTTCATGCGCTTGGTTATAACTTTTCCTTTTTTACTGTGTTGGACTCCCGCATCAACCACCCTAAAGCACAGCCCAAACCCTAGCGACAAACCCAGTAGACTTTTTTCCTACCTGGATTATAAAACTGCAAACATATCTGCACTCTATCTAGATTTTAGGTTCTCAGAAAGTATTCTTCTTTTTTTCTGCAATCTAGATCTCAGGCTTCCAGAAACAACTCCAGTTAGATTTCCAATTTTATAAACCAGAGAGTGAAAAGTCATACTGGATTTTTCGGTAGGGAACCAAGCCGCAAAACAGTAAAAAATGAGCACCGGAGAAATCCGGTGGGAGAGCAGCGCTTTCAATGGTCATGTGAAAGTGACGTTTTGCAGCTCCAGCTTTGCAGTCCAAAGTTGAAAATATGTATTTGTTCCCCGGCCCCGAAGAGAGTCGCGAAGCGCCGGAGAGCACTCTCGGCCCAGCAGGGGGAGACGGTCGACCCAGGTCGCCCTCATGACACACCTTGAGATGGCTGTTGGGGGGGAGCGAGGGGGGGAGGGGGGTGGGAGTGTGCTAATCGTTTCTCGGGAACCCAACAAAGGGACAAAGGACGGCTTAAGGAGCAGTTCCTTATGTTGTATTCTCCCCCTCGAAGCCACTCGTAAATCCCGGAAATGATTCCTCCTTTTTCTCTCCCGCCCATCATTTGTGTTTATATATCCCTTTCCCTCTCTACATTTCCGACTTCGGCGTCCCGGCGAGCAGTGCCCTCCGAATTCTCGTCCATGCAATAGACCCTTTCCGGAATTCAGACTGGCAACTTTGATCACTATCATCATCTGAAAAATGGCATATGTGCTATACTAATGGCGACCATCTGTTTACTGATGAAAGAAGAAGTTGAAGATGTTCCTAAGCCGATGATTCTATGCCTATACATTCTAGATGTTAGCGCGGCGTGAAGCAGGAATCGGACGCAAGAGCTGCGTAAGCGTTCATTTCTAACTCGGGCCAAGTCAATCTGTTAGTAGCCCACACTTGGCTTCAAAGCCCCTTCATGTATAGAACTTTATGAAGGCGTCTATGTGGGCTGGCGCTTCGTTCTGACTGGTTGTAACTTTTTAGCCATCGACACTGAAGAGATGTAAAAAGAACTGGTCAGTGACGCGCCCATTCTCATTCACAGTTGACTTGCGGAGGTGACGGTGCCCCATACAGTACTACAAACCACAGGTTCATCGCCGCCATTAGTACGGTAAAAGTCAAACTGCCATTTGAATCACCAGATGGCCCTGAATTCCGGAAAGGGTCTATTCTGCGCGCTTCTGGGCTAAAACGGTAGGCGGAAGTTCTAAGAAAAACTTGTTCCTCCTCACTCATTATTGCGGGCCCTTTTTGCGGCTTGGTTTGGAGCACCCTTAATTGTTAGCCACCAAAGTTTGAAAAGGGCTGCTTACCTGAGGTCTTATGGTAAAAGAGAGCGCACGAATCATGGTCGGACAACAAGAGATATATTGTTCCTGCATATCCTGGAAAGACAAAAAAAGTGGGAGAGTTTTGGCAGACGAGGAGAACATGCAAAAATACAGTAAAAATAAAACCGCAGAAATAACCTACTTGTTCCTGAACCCCGGTGTATCTTAGCTTCCATGTAGTTGGGAAGCTTATATCCTGTCGATTTTTCTGGTTTCATATCATACATCGAAGTTAACCTGTAAAGGTATTCAAGTAAAAGTCATAATACAATACACGTTCTCACTGGAACATGTTACGATGGCACGATATGATTACAGAATGTTTGACGGCTCGATTTCGGGGAAGAGGGGAAACGTTTTATGGGGGAAAACAAAATTACACATAACTGAGAAAAAAGGAAATTTGGAAGGTGAGTCAGCAAAATTAAACCCAATACCCAGCCTATACTCCGTTTTACAATAAAGCCCCGACAACACGGCGGCTATTTTGAATGGCTACGAAACCGGTTTTGATTTATTGAAATGAAGGACAATCAATCAATCAATCAATGTTTATTTTTTTCTTGTGCTGAAGCCTAAATATGTACTGAAGAGTATTTCTGCTAACATAATCTTTTTGGTATTCGCTAAGTTATAGTAAGCTACTAAAATTATGGGTTAAAATGTTACTAGGTAATTTACTAATTTTCACGTGCTTCAAATTGTCTCTTTAATATAGATGGTAAGGATGACGTGTTACGATAAGGAAGTGGACGGCAGCTTCATTGAAACTTTCCTTGCTAAGCATTTTTTTTTAATAAAACATGTCTTTGCGCATGATTTTTGTTTAGAGACCTATTTGAAACACAATTTTTCGAAAAGCCCACGAACACGCATGTGCCTTTGCGGGCCTGCGTTATCTTTGCAGTCGCTTATTGCGCCATATGCATGTATGTATGTATGTATATTGTTATACTTAGCAAGTGGTTAGAAGTATCACTATTTTAACATTATTATTGCCGAAGAAAATAAAAAAAGCACATCGCGATAATTACTCGTTGATTTAGCAATTAAACAATTAATATATGACTACATTTTAGCTGCCCATAGAATCCCCAAGAAAAAAAAAGAATATGATAGCGCAGTTTCTGTTGAGCCTGCATATTTAGATTTGTTTTTAAGGAAGTAAAAAGTGTTTCGTAGTTATTTCTTAATGCTCACAGACAACGCTACAATCCAAGAGGTCCAATCAAGGAGCACCGAAAAATTGCATTGACACAGGGCTTGTCATTTCTGCTAGTTTGCAGTCGCCAACTGAACCGATCACACAGTGAACGCGCCGTGACCCTGCGCTTTTTTTTGTTCATTATTGCATTTAACGGTGATGGCAAACCCCCAATGACGACGAGCGGACTGACGAGGCACTTTTAACGCTGTTTGATTGGCTCCATCGAACCGTAGCGTCGGCTGGGGTTGGAGTTAAACATAGTGCCTGGAAAGCGTCTTCGAACGGTGTGAGTGTTTTAGCGTCCTACGCTGCCACACATCAAAAGTTGTCTCGAAGTGGCAACAAATGACGTCACAGAAGTCGCAAGTGTCATGCTGTAACATGTAGCAATCCTGGAGGTCGGTCATAAAATGCTAAGAAGAAGCTGCGACTAGCACAACCCAACGCGAGTGACGCTGGCGTCAAAGCGTCCCAAATTATGGCTGCCGAAGTTTCCGTGGACTGCCACCCTGGACAGCGACCTGCGGCAGAACAGGCGTCTGCACTCACACACAACAGCTGTTGGAACGCCACCAGCATCGCGACTGGCCACAGCGTGAAACTTCTGTGACGTCATCAGGCGGAAATCGAGGGACCACTTTTTTGGACGCGGTAAACTCACCAGTCAGAGACGCGTTGCAGGCGCCATAGTTAAAGTGAAACAGAGAAAACGATTGAAGCTCATAGGGTCATTCTTAACTCTCTTCCTACTATAGTAATGATGTGAGAGGGCGGAACCCTTGCCTTCGATAGTCACTAACAGGACGCCACTGGCAGGGCGTCCCTTTCTGTTGCCCAGACTCAACGATGTCAGGATTACTTTTCAAACGAAAGTAAATGACCTTTCCAATTACTTCTATAAAATTACGCATTTGTAATTAATTTACATCACAAGTAACCGCAAGATAGAAATAAAGACGTTACAACTACTTTTAAAAGAAGTAGTAAGATTACGTCCAAATAAGTTTTTTTAAGTTCTTCAAGCAGGAATTTGTGGCAGTTTTATTTAGGGTGTCCCATAAGTCAGATTGCCGTTCCACCGCTATGGGGAGATTATTATTATTATAATTATTATTAATATTATTACTATTACTACTATTATTATTATCATGATCATTATCACTATTATTATTATTATCATCATCATCTTCTTTAAGGCGATTTATCAGGTGTACAGAATCATTAAAGGACGTTTATGATGATGTTGCTGATAATATGAAATTATTGCGCCATGAAAACTGCTTTTCTAATCTAAACTAGATTTCAAAAGAAACGCGTGTGATGTAGCGAGGGTGACCATATTTCCCACACTTTTGCTAACAGCGGGATAATATTGTGGAAACAATACTCTAAATTCCATCGATCTGTATCCAGTAAACTTCTTACACCAACTTACTTACCTCCATTATAACCCTCATCACACAACGATTACATCAAACCTTTCACAGACTAAAAACAAGAACCTTTCAAGAGCAGCTTAATTAAACAAAAAGAAAGTAAATAAAAAGGTGTAAACTTTTTTAAAATTGTTTTGCTATTACGACGTCCAAGATTGGAAATCCTCGTTTTGATATGTATAGTGTACTTAACTGAAGTGTTTTTTCTATATTTTTCTTCTTCTGCCAACAGTAATCAATCGTTATACTCCTGTTTTATACCGCCATCGGGGCTTTGTAGGATGACCTAATCGTTTGTTCGATGCTGCTTGAAATATATATCCTCTGAACTAACCGAAAACTCTAGGACGCGATAACTAAATTCTGCATATACTTTTCTGAATGTTTATAATAACTTAGAGCTTGTGAGGAATCTGGCAATCCACAGCGTTTGATCAGATTTCCCCCATGTTAAATCGTCTCTTGATTTTTACCGTGAGGTGGCGAAGCGCAATCAGCCACGCGAGCTGCAGTACGCCGCCGCCAAAGACCTGTGCGGAAGTATGCGTGAGACCTTTCTAGATCGAGGCTCGTTTGATAACACTTAAAAGGTGACCACGTGTTTTTGAACCAGTGCATGTCATTCTCCGAGGTGGGTTGTAGCAAAAGAATTCCACAAAATTCGATAATATTTTAGTTTCGTAATTCTTGAGTACATACCATTTGCCCTTAAGTCTCTTCGTATAAAGCCGCCGCTCCAGAAGAAATTTACCTTGCGAATTTTTTTCTGTTCTTACTTCTCCACACATGAAAGTTATTCCGGAGCCCTGCTTCAAAAGAGGGTCTTCCTTGAACGTACCTCCTACCACGTAAAACTTCATGGGACCTAAGAAGAGCTGATGAACATACGGGAGAGTTTTAGTTTAATTAATACAAATTTCTACACTAAGTATAAAAAAATGAAGGTGATTGAAGTCAATTCAATATTATAAAGTGCAAAATAGTAAGTTAACAATAAAAAAATGGGCATGACCTTTATCTTCAAACTCCTGTGTCGCACGAAATGCATTATAGGGAAATTGGTGAGGAGATTGGTGAGGGAATTGTTAGGTCACGTGACATATATTATCCCGCTAAATTTAGCCGGGTAACTGAAGGAGTTTATAGGTCACGTGATGTTAGGTCACGTTAAATCGATTTTCCCCCTAAATGTAGGGGGAAACTGAATAGACCCTTTACGAAAGTCAGTCAAGCAACTATGAAATACCGAAACCGCCGCCATTACTGCGTCGTCGTTTCGGGAGCGAGCGATAGCAGGTGCTCGTGGCAGAACTCCCGGTACCTTTGGCTACGATTCTCAGGGACGAGTGACTTTGCCTTCCCCGTGGAGCACTGACCTAACTGCAGTTCTGCGTAGCTTTAACAAATGTAAGATAGAGGCGCACCGCGCCTCGACACTCGCTTCGAGCCGCCAGGTTGCCCAAAGCAGCAAGTTCATGACCGAGGCCTATGTTGATCCGGCGTCGGTTCAAGTGTTGAGGTAAGCACCGTTCTTTCTTGTCGCCCGTTCAGACCTAAGCGTGAGCCAACCCAAAGCTACAAGCGCGCGCATCACGCCGTGAACGTGTCTTTACGTGCAGGCGGACTTGTGCCGTCTGCCGCAGCGCCGTGCATAAGGAAACGCCGAAAGAGGCTTAAGATGCTCGAGCACCTTGGGTCTCTTTTGCATGATGAAACAAAAGTAATATTTTCCGGCTCGTTCTCACAGCTTCAACTAATGTTGCAAGGCTCGGTGGCGTACGGACTAAAGAGTACGAGGCGGGGGGTGAGAGGTAAACAGAATCGCTCTTGCGTCGTGTCGGTGAACTTCGCCTCTGCACGCCGTACTTCATAGTATTTTTTTTATTTTTTTATTCTTTTATTTTTTAGCAGAGGCGTTTGTTTTGATCGTATTGCTTTCTGTGCTGGCAAGTTTCACGTTGACGGTTTGACGTGTGTGATGCCCGCGAGCGTGCACTATGTCCACTATCAGCACGAGCATGCTAGCTCAAAAGGTAGGACAAACCGGTCCCAACTTTCGGCGTAGTAAAAGATTCCGGCGTTTAGTAAACGAATAATCGCAAATATGACGCGTCTTTCCCTAGTAGCACCGAATGTTGCCACAATGTTACTGGAATGTGGTCCGCCAACGTTGTGTATACGTGGCTAATGTCCGCAAAATGTCATGTCGCTGGAACGTTATCTGAAAACATTCCCGTAACATCACAGTAAACATTTGTGCTATGTTATGCCCTCAACATTTGTGCTATGTTATGCCCTCAACATTTGTGGTATGTTATGCCCTCAACATTTGTGGTATGTTATGCCCTCAACATTAGTGGAACATAATTTATTAACATTGTTTATATATTTCCAATGACCACACAGCAAACATTTGTGGTATGTTTTGTCCTCAACATTCGTGTAACATTAACTTGGTGTCTCAAGTAGCAGCCAGGCTCTTTAAATCAACCGCGAAATTTGGTTTCTTAACCTATTGCGCTAGGAGTTTTTGCAGCGTTGCCCACAGGCGGTACATTTTTTTTATTATAAAAATTGCAAAGAGCGAACTTACCTGAGGAAAAAGTAAAGAAAGAAAAAGGGTTAACTCCTTTGGAAATTCAGCGAAGGCACCAGTCTTCAAACAATAGGGCGCCCTATTTTTGAAGACCGTTGGCTTCGCTGCATTTCCATAGCAGTTAAGCCTTTTTCTTTCTTTATTTTTTCCTCAGTTAGTTCGCTCTTTGCAATTTTTATAGAAAAAAATACACCACCTGTGGGCAACGGTGCACAAAATCCTAGCGCGACAGGTTAAGAAACCGAATTTTGTGGTCGATTTAAAGAGACTGGCCACTATTTGAGACACCCAACATATTGCCAATTGACCACTACTTTTCTACATGAGCTACATTATAAAAAAATCAATTTACCCACAACAAGGACAGCTAAAAACGGACAAGCACATATACATAGCCGCAATGTGCTAGCTTCGTTTCTATCTTTCCTCGTCTCGGGCAAATTAGTCGCAGACTAGCTCTCTCAGCGATTTCACCCCACCTTCGCCTGTGTGAAAGTCGTTCATCAAATAGCACTGCTGCTGAACCGCTCTAAGAAGTTATTCACTTCACTTGAGAAAACGTGAATACTCTTTTCTGTAATCTGCTTTCAATCATGTCGATCTATCCCAGTTTTATTTCGAGGTAATAGCTTTTATAAAAAGCTCCACTTTTTTTTTAACTTTTTTCAGCCAATCAAAATCTTTAACTTTCAGATGTTTGTCACTCCAATGTTCTTGCACAAGAATTTTCTGAGCAGAGAAGTCACTAAAAAAGACATTTAGCCTAATTGTGAAGTAAACTTTGTGAGGGAAAAAAAAAATCTTTCTTACGTGACAGAGAAATAAAGAACTTCTGATGATCTTAAAGGACAAACATTGATTTTAATTCCCAAAATAATTAGCACTTATAACCAACAAAGGCTAGACACGTTTAGCTAATGAATGGGTATATTGAAGATAAAATGTTTGTCCCAAGTTGCCTTAATACCCAAGTTGACACCTTAGTAACTGTTGAGCACAGCACTTGTTGACAACATGTCGGTTACCAGAAATGTAGCCTGTAATATATATGCCTCACAGAACTCCAAAGCCAAATTTAGCAGCTATACTCCGTTTCACCTTCAGTTGAAGCGCAGCATACACTACGAGCCATCCCAGTCAATTTAGCGTCAAGTCTGATGCGACTTTGAGCTCTGCCTCCCGTTCCACACAACTGGAAAGTCTTGTGATACTCTTCCGGCGCTGGATCAGCTGGGATGGCCCATACCGTTCACTATGCTTTAATTTAAAGTGAAACGGAGCATAGTGGAGACAGCACTGTAACTATTCAGACTCAATATTTCGAAATTAATTAGTGTTGATTTTCATTTCTTTTATATTAAACTTTCACAACCCACAAAAGTAAAAGGTTTCATGGATTACCAGTATCCCCAACCATTGGGCAATTGATTTGCATGATAACTTCTACAATTTTTTCTCCAATTGCAAGATTTTGAATTATTTTGGAGTGGATTATCTGCTCTCTACAGCAGAAGACTGACTAATAGAACATGCATATCACAAGATGCATCCCCCCCCCCCCCCCAGACAGTATAATTTCAGCAATATTTTCACTTTGTGACACAATTTAAAGCAGTCCTCCACTCTACTTTTCTCTCTCGCATCTGCTCGTGGCAAGCAGAGAAGGAAGCAGGGGTTGCTGGGAAAAGTATGCACATCCGTCTCCATCACTTCCTTCCAGCCAATAGGAAGTTACAAAAAGAAAGCTATCTCCTTGAAATAGCAACCACTTTTCAGGCAACCATGTAAAATCAGTCTTGCCAAAATGAGTCTTGCACCCTAAATAGTTATACTTTATTTTTTTTTCAAGGAAAATGCATTTTATGACATGGGTGTCCTATCCATGTCATTCTAACTTGTTCTAACTTTTTTAGTGGCCCTCTAAGAGGCACCTGTCACTGACCATAAAGTAGGACGCTTAGAGGAATCCAAAAGATTTGTTGAGATAGGGTTTATTTTCATAAATCTTCCAAGTTTTACATTGCACTCAGTAGAAGCTGTAAGCTCAGCCAACTTGATTAAAATAAACTGTGAGAAAACATCACGAAAAAGGTTGCAGCAACAGGACCAGACATGTACTGCGGAAACATTTGCAGATTCACTAAGAAACATACTCAACTTCTCAAAAGTATAATGAGTGGTAACAACCAAGCTTAAGTTAGCAGAAGAAACATGTAGTTTGAAAGTAACTTTGAGTTAAATAAAATTGACTAGATATATAAGCAAAGGTGTGTTACAAACGGATCATTCTTGCATCCGTAGGGCAACTGCAAGAGGAAAAAAAAAAAGTAATTACACAGACGAAAATTATAACAAAAATGTTTACATCCTATTCATAGGCAGTATCGACGTTTACCAGGAATAGGTGTGACAGCTACTCGCTTAGTTCTATATACACAGATATTAGATTGTGAAAATAGTGGTAAATAAGTTCAATCAAAAAAACCACTAGAGTAACCTGCCACTGATGTTACCATATCTGTTGCTGCTCAAAGTTATCATAAAACAAACATATGTCATATTAATGAACAGAGAAGGAAGAGGAACAGTTACATAAAACTAGAAGGCACACAGTCCCTTATCGCCATCTTGAGCGCAGTGTCACCCTTTCTCTACACCAAGTGTCATTATTAGCTGTAGATTACTCCCAGAAGTCAAAAACTTATTTTCGGAAACCTCAATGAGACAGGCAAATGTCCTGCTTGTCCTCTGTCAATAACATAAACGTCATAATTATTGTGATCAATAAATTACATGGGTCCCCACCCCCTAACCTAAAAAAAGCTGTGCACATAGCAGGCTTCATGTTGCTTGGTAATGACATTAACGAGATAAACACTCACTTTTCTCAGTACTGTTTCTAAAGTGCAGTCAAAGTCAGCAAAACAAACTGACATATTAAGGAACATAATTTCCACATCAAAGGTCACTCAATGGCTGGAAAGTAGTTATAAAAGGGAAAGTCAGAGTGAAAGAAGCTGACTATACACAAAATAAGAGTAAAAAAAGTGCTTGCCTCTTTCTACAAAGTCACCTCTAGGCAAAAGCAGTGCCCTCCTGCAAAAAGCATATTAAAGAGTAAAGCTATACAGGGCGTTTCTTTAATTCTTTACGGAATTGAAAAAAAAAAAAAAAAAAAAAAAGCTGATAGCTACGTGGATTCGCCTTCAGTGTATGTTTGTGGGGCTTGGAGGGCATTCTATGAGGTGATAAATGTCACAGTATGTTGGCTAACAAAAT